AAATACACAGATATTTCCATATTCAAGTGTGGCTCAGTTGATACCATAAGTGTTCACCAGTCACCGCACAGACTGACCGACTGATCAGTAGATGTGTAAAAAATTACTATGCCTAATTTATAACTATATTTTTGGTGTATGGGTAGGTCATCTAGAACAAACTTAAGATGTCATTAAAATAGAAAGCTTGATTTTGTTTAAATAACTTTATCGGCTAAAACTCCGGGCAAGCATACTCATAAATTGTCATACCTGAAAAATATGTTATTGTTGTTGTTGCTATTGTATTGGTTATGGCAGTAATGTAAAATCGCAATTCAACATATTAAGGAGAAAAAAAAAATATTAAAACCTTAATTTCAAACTACAAACTAATTAAATTCCAGCACATAATTAAGTTATTATTGTGACACGTGCATTATTTTATATACTAATTTTAATTTTGAATACTCGTTAATTTGTAACAACAAAATCAAATTACTACATAAACGAAACCTTTACTGTTGAAAAGAAAACTCACTCTTTCGGAGTAGTATTATTTTATATTTGGTTTGACGAAAATACAAAACAATTTAATAACGATAATATTTAATTTAAAAAAACTTGTAAAATAATTTTTGTTAGTTAACGTTCTTTTTTTTTTTAAACTTTACTCTCGGTCTTGGCCGGTTGAACGTATGTAATTATTATTTATTTCCGTTTTCTGTTTGCGCTGTTTTTTTCACTCTATCATCGTGAAACGAAACTAATTTAGTGTTAAAGTACCTACCTATCTGCAATGTTTGTCAAAACGTCACTTGTGTCGTGCCGTTCGACCTTTCAATTATCGCCTACCCGAGCCAGCGCTGTATTTCAATCACAGTCGGCTTACCGCATTGATGTACCCGTATAAATCACCGGGTTAAGGGCGTGACACATCCAGCCCAATTCCTTTTACTGTGCCACGAATTCGGCAAAAAGCACTTTTACAGCAAAATCCGAGTACAAACGGAATTCACACGTGTGGGGGGCATACGTATTCCTTCGCATAATATGAGGTTGCGTTGCAAGGGAACAAACGGAATATAAAGATGCGAGTTCACTTAAAATAATTCAATAGTATAGAAAATATACTTACAAAACCGTTTGTTTGCGTTAAAAAATATATTAGTTCGATATTGCGCGGTAACGTACTTACAATTTTCTTCTGGCAGATGATATGCAGTAAAAAAAAATTCCCCTGGCTCCCTTGTGTAAACCTCGCCCTTGTGGCAGGATCAAATAAGACGAACCGTGATTTTTTCTAAACAGTTGAGTATATCGGCTACTCTTCTTGATTATTGTAGTAATCCAATTTTGAACTCTTTCAATTAAAATCGTGTTTAAATAATTTTACTATTCACTCCATTGTATTTTTTAAGTAACTGAAACAGTTATTGAAAATTTGACATCCACAACAACCTGGAAAAAAGGCCGATGATCTCAAAATATAGTTTTACACAATTAAAGTCCGACCATTTTAAATAGGCGAAATTTTGGTCAGGCTTTTAGGTCTAAATTGGTTTTTTGTACCACCATTAAATAACTTTAACTTATAGAAAACATTGTAAATGTTAAAACTAATACGCTGAATCTTATAAAAATTAACCTAAAAATTAATTGATACGGTCGAAATCAAATGAAACAACTTTTATCTTAATATTGCCTACATAAAACTCCTTAAAAACCGCCCGCTGTCAACGCTGTCTGATAACAGTTTGTTTTTTCTAAAGATTCAATAATTAGACAAAATGTATTTTTTATCAATTTTTAATAGTTTGGTTATCAAGAAAAATCAAATTTTTCAAAAAACTTATTCGTTAAGTGAAAAAAAAAAACAATTATTTAAATGTACGTTGCTATACTTTTATTACAATTTAATATTTTACAAGATATTATAATGAAATGTTCTTTTTTTTGTGACATTACGCCCAAAACGGCCACGTTAACAAGAAGAGTTTTCTATTTGACAAATAGATAATTAAATATATATTTATACAAATCAATTAGGCTCTGGGGGGTGATATTTCCCACTAATCACGTCACTGTTATTGCGAGTTGTAATAATTCGGCTATAATATATTGTATTTTGAGTACAACACGGTTTGTTAGTATTGTTAAATAACAATTTTGGGATTTTAATGGGAAATTTCCTTTGGAGGGCACAACAGCGTGGAACGGTGTTTGTGTACTATGCCTATAGAGTAAACGAAGTTGATTTACCGGCGGATGATCTTCCACGGTGGTGGAAACAACATTGTTTAATAATTGTCGGCGATGAATATTTAATAAATTCGCAGTAGACCACCGGATGAAACGTTGATGAACAATAACGGTCATTAAAAATGCACGAGCCCGGTCGCTAATCCTCTCCGGAAATTGTATAGTTCTTGAAAACAAGTACCCAAGATCATGCGGTGGTTAACTTTGAAAAATGCATGAGTTTTAGATCACTATGTCTTAGGAGTTCCTCCGAGAATGATTAACAGCCGTTTCCAATGTTCATAATAATATGCCGAATAATAATAGTTGGTAAAATAAGTCAACTCGACTAGTTTTGCACAGACTTCTAATATGTGTGCCTAAACGGAAAAGTGAGTCATCTTCTTTTGGGCAAACAATTCGACTTCGTTATCGTTTAATCCCATTTTTCACAAACAAACATTAAGGTCTAAAATCATCCCACGACTTAACCCGTTGCGCCCAAACGTACACGATATTTTTTTTAAATATATTTTAAATCAATAACTCCAAGTTTGCATATGTCAACTTATCCCCAACAATAATTATTACCGTACATCTCGAAAAGGCCCCTGTGGTGTTTTCGCCCCACTGACCCTTTACCCAAATCATTGTGGTCACATATCATACAATATGATGTATATAATTGCGCTCTCTACGATTTTGTATTCGTGTGTACATATTATTCGAACCGAACGGGCGGCGCTTTAACGAGCCCCGACTTGACAATTAATACGGTGCTGCGTTTGCTATCGATACACCGCGGTCAGGTTAGGTTCAAAGGGTTCACATACTACACACATGTTATTTGAAATCACCTCGATACCTCGAAACGTTTGAACGTGTAATATTATCAAGTCCGGACGATTCCCGGCTCTTTTGTGTATCGGTCGCAATATTATCGTCTATTGCCGTTTCACCCCCCGAATTCATCACGGCTATAGTGGTCCGCGTTAAGCACATACAGGCACCCCGTTAAGGGGGGGGGGGTGAAGGGGTGGTCGCCGGTTGGGTCCAACGCAGAAATTCAATACTATTCAATCCGCCGTTTGGAAAACGTTTGCGTTTAAGTATAATAATAATAATATAAGCCGCGGAGACAAACACAAGGCTCTCGCGTGTACGGGCGGATATGAATAGCAGCACCGGGTTTCGGCTACGTGGTCGCAATACTCGATTAGGTTATGCGAACCCAAAGCAATAAGTACCAGCAGCAGCAGCCGCAGCAGCGCCTGATATAACTATGTTAAGAGATTACATTATCATTTGAAGGGCAGCGGCCGTGTCTATTCCCTTGTTCTACTACACACACACACACCACACAGCTAACAACAATATATTATTGTCCAGTCCCGAGTCCAACAAACCGTGATGACGATAAGACGACCACCGAGTGGTATGCCCTCTTCGTTCGACCCTCTTATTCAAATGCGAATACACAATAAACCGACTGAGCACTATTTTGTTCTATACTTTCGCCAACCCTCTCCCACACATTATGTACACCGCCTTTGGTCACTGTATAGGACGCCAATTATTAATGTTATACTATTACTATTATTATTGTTATACTGTGTATTGTATTCATATTTTTTTTTCAATAAATCTGTCATTTTTGTATAGCGCAATATTGACTCCACAATGTCGATAATAGTCATACAAATGATGTTTAGGGATTGCCGGGGTCTGTTTTTTTCCGTCCTAGACCAAAATGTCAATTATGGTCCGATTTCAATTCTGTAAATATATACGAGTTCTTCGGCAACTTTACTAGGTTATGTATGTAACAGATTTTTGATTTTTTGCTTTTTTTATGTAAAAAAATTGGGTTTTAATATTGAAAAAATTGCAAATATAATTTATTTAATTACAAGAAACAGAAATTTTTAAATGAAATTCGGCTTGCTACAAAACATAGTAAAATAGCCAAAGAACTCGCCTCTTTACAAAATTGGACCATCGTATGTAGTCTGGTTTTTGGTCTAAGACTAACTAAAATGGGTTTTACGCATAGACAAAATTAATTAAATTAAAAATAATACCTTGAAGCTTATACAAATTAACCGGTAAATTAATTGACATGGTCGAAATTTATTAAAACTACATTTCCCTTAAATATTGACTATACAAAACTCCTTAAAAACATACCGCATGAAATCCCCTTGAAGTTCTCCGTATTTACACAAACGAGCAATAAATTGTATGTTTTTTTTGTTTACGGCACCTGACACCTTTGTCTTATACTTGTGACATTTTTAATAAGTAGTTTTTTGTAAAAAAAAAAACTTTATTTATGCATTGTTGATAAAGTGTATTAAATTGAGAATTGAGTCTCGGTGTAATTTTCTTCTTTGCTTTTAGACATTTTATTTTAATTAATTCGCAACTTCGTGAAAACTATTTTGTTTACTATAGACTTTCTTTTGTACTAAGGTTTACTCAAACATCTAAATGAAGTTGCTCCCCCCCCCTACATTATCCTATCAATTCCAAATTAGTGTCAAACTTTAGTAAATGAATTGTAAATAATTGTAAATATGGATTCAGAATTTGTAAATCATGGAGGAGAATTATGGAGGGATTATGGAGGAAGAGATGTTACAATGTTACAATTAATAACAGATACGACATTTGACTACCTACATTATATTATACAAATTTTATTCCATTGCCGCCTTATATATTGAGATAATATATTATGTTCATTATGTCTAATTAAAAACGATAATTATTTGTTTTAGCGGCGCTTGTCAGCGGCGGTGGTGCTGTTTATCCAATCGGCTGGGACAACCGAGAAGTGAAGGAATCGTGTGGAAACATATCCGGACCGTACAAGCTAGGTAAACAATAACATAGAATTGACTTAACTTGAAAATGCTCTCCGATCCAGCCCTACTGGGAAATCATCGCATTACTTAAACAATAATATAAGTATTATAATTGTAAACCATATTCCTGTTGAAAACAATACCGGTCACTCGAATGGGCATTTATTTCCAATGTCAAAAGACCGTTTTGTCATTGAAATTCCGGAAGTCCAATTAAAACCACTCTCCCCAATGACCACAGTGGTTATCACACAACGGATTAGACACAACTGTAATGATGAAAAAGCAGAGACGGCATTTTTGAATCACATTTCTCCTAAAATTGATTTTGACGCAGAAGCCTTCAACAGTTGTCATCGTCTGTAATGGTTTTTTACACCACAATAAAACCGTTCAGATCACACGTCACTATAATATTATGTTTACCGAGAGTATAATAAATGTGAATCGCACGCTCCATTTGCAAAAAATTGGTTATCGTTTGACGGTGAAACATTTAAATTCATATTTTTCCAACGAGTCAAATCTGAAAAATTATAATATCTGTTAAGCTAAATGCGTTGCAAACCACCAGAGAATGTCCCAAACTGTTGTGTCAGTTTTATACGTAGGAAAATATCAAAAAAAATAATTACCAAGTTCGATTACTGTTTGTAACAAACTCAAATATTTGACATACGATTACAATTAGTGCATAAAATACATACAACGATTTTTAACAATATGTGGACTTAGTTGAAATTAAAAAAAAAAAATAGGCGATCGATGTCGATGGGATATTAGTATTAAGACTTGATAAAATAATCCTTACCGACCAACAGTCCATAATTTTCATTACATAATCAAAAGAGATCTTATTTTAATGTAACGTATGTACGTTGATGTTTAAATGAAATCCTTTTTAAAAAATAATACCATAAAAATCACTATTTTGTTGAAAGTCTTATACTAACCCGCTTTCATCTTGGCTAAAGCCGTTGTCTGATGAGATATCAAAAATCTTAACTATCTAAAAATCTATATATGTCATTCAGAGACATCTCAGAGTGGGATGTTATTAAACAACTAATATTTTAATCTCAATTAATGCTATCTTCTTTATTATAACATATCAAGTGATAAGAACCATAATGATACAATTGACATTTTTTTCATAAAAAAGTTTTTGATTATACCATATTTATCAATGAGGCTTTTTCTGACTACCTATATTTGTTTATTTATTGAAAGAATAATTAAAGACTTAGCTAACATTACTTATAAGAATATATTGAAAATATAATATTCATTTTGCCCGGTTTTATAATTGTGTAACAATCACTTATATTTATAGTAATACCCTTCTGGTTCTCATCATTTTACATAATAAGTGTATTATTTAAAAATAAAATTAATTAATTAACAAAACCACAACGTTCTTATATCTATTCTATTGTTGGTTTTTTTGTCGAGCTTTTCCGATGGGAATTTCAATTCTCTATATTGATCATAAAACTTGAATATAACAGAAACTAACGTTAAAAAAAGACTTATTGTACAAAAACAATTAATTTTAAAGCACAACTGAAAACAATCTTGGCTTTTTATTAAAAAAAAAACAAATAATTTTTCAATTGTTGCCACTTTAATTTAATAACGAAGTGTCTAGCAAGATACTATAAACAGCTCATAATAAACGAAGAATCTTTATTTTTCATTTACTCATAATTATGAATCTCTTATAATAAAAACATATTTTTTACATTACTACATTTTATGCTACCTTGCTGATGTATACCAAACTATATTGATATTTAAACTAATTTACTAGTTGCAATTTTGATTTGGTACTTCAATTTTTTTTTAATGCTGTAAATGTACAATACAGTATATATATTTTGTCAACTTGTACTACAAAAAAGTAATATATTTGTTTTTACTTACATAAAAAATATTTGCTTCTTATCGCCAATGAGGTAAAACCTTTCAACTGTTTTACTAAATTAAAATATTAAAAATAATTTCGGATGTATAAATGTGATTTATTTTATTTTAAATATATTATGTAAGTTTGCAGATTTCGATAAGATTGTTTTAAAATACTATAAAATTATTTGGTTTTCAAAATGAAAAGTTTGCCTAGTAATTTTTATGTGAATTGTTTATGTTATAGTCCCACTCTAGACGTAGGCAGTAGATACCTGTCAGCATACATTAATAGCGTGTTTAAAGTTTTTTCCATAAAAAATTTGGAACTGATTCGACAATTTTTCAAAAAGTTATCGAGTGCTAAAATTTAAGTAAAAAAATATTAAAACATTTTTGGTGTTTTTTTGATTTTGCAGCGGAAGAAAGAAATTTTATATTTTTTCCCCTACAAAAAGAACCTTTTAGGTACTATTTCCGGATTTGCTGCATGAAAAACTCGGTTTAGTGGTTTTGAGAGATAACACAAACGAATATATTAAAAAACACATCACCGTAAAAACAATAATAATAAGTATACTTTCCGCGTCAAAGCTAAAATATATTACGTTGTACATTATTATAAAAGAGCGTTATGAACTGTGATTTTTTTTTTTTCATTTTCCTTACACGGCATACATTATGTTACGAAAATGCCGTGTATATAAAATACAAGTAATCCACAGTCTGAACATTATCATTATTAATGATTCTTCGACGCGTTAAATTGCGCTATATCCACATAAGGTTTTGCGCCGATCGCCTAAGAAACGTTTGACTGATAACAAGATGTAATAAAATCATTTTTTTGTTCAGGCACCTGTCAACTGTCGTGGTCCGTCTACATGCTCGGGTCTTCGGTGGCTTTGCTGTTGTTGTGCTTCTACTTGAGCTTCTACGCGTCCCGGGACAGCCCGGGCCATTCATTTCGTTCCATCTGATGAGTGCACGCCCAGGCAACAGCAGCAGCAGCAGCAGCAACCGCGGCAGCTAGCACCGGACATGCCGCTAGCCATTATTTCTGTCGCCACGCATGAAGAGTACGAGGACGAGGCGCACTTCAAACCCACCGTGATCGCTCACTGTAAACTGTAAACTAAATAATTTTGAAAAAGAAAAAAAATGTTTTTGGAAACCCTCCCCCCCCACCCAACTTTGTCCTCTCCTCGATCACACTAAAGTCTCTTTTTTTTGTGTAAGCGATAATAGAAATTCGACCGACAACAATGTTATATTAAAAGAAAATAAGTGTACATAAATATACGTTAAACTCGATTTTTATTTTTAATATAAATAAAAACCACGCCTGTATAAGAAGAATTACCGTGTCACATCTTTGATCGCTACAACCGCAGAGTCCGTGTACTGTTGCAGTGTAAAGGTCACATTTAGTCGACATTATTTGCTTATAAAATATTATGTCTCTTGGGGCCTAGGTAATGAAGAAAATGAATATGTTCACAATTGTCACCGGTCGCTCTAATCAAACTTGCACGTTACAACTGTTCGCGGTTGAATATAAATTTCCATTAAAATGTTAACATTTGACTCTGTAAATTAACTCAAGTCCACCGTTTGTCGCACCGTTTGTAACGCATACGATCATCGGCCATAATGTTCACAGTATTTTTTTTTGGTGAATATGATCTAAAATATGTCACCCAATATTGTGTAATTAAGTTTAAAAAAATAATAAAAATATGTTAAAATGTTATATAATTAATGTAGACCGTTTAATCGTTGGACTAACAATTATTGTAATCACACAGTATTAAATAATTGTTTTAATTACTATTATTATTATTACTATTATTTACTACGGTCTATATAGACTATTCGTACATAGTTGTCATTATTAAATTAATCATATTAATGTGTATAAAATATATAATAATATGTTATAAGGCATGTAAATAAAAACACGAACATTTATAGAATAGAAAAATTGTCAGAATTTCTTTTGTTTGTGATTCATGTTTGTAAATAATTGAATTGAAAAAAATCGTCAACGTTAAAAATGTTATCATTAACAGTTTGTAAAGCTTATGTTTAAGTTCAAGAGCACTTAATTGGCCGATAAAATATTACAGTATTATAAAACTCATATTGGATAACACTAACACGTTAATACACGATAATACTAATTAGTACTCGATTACTTCTAATGTTTCTTATAAAATATGTTTGTTGTAGTTTTTAAAAAAATTTTAAAAAATCCTATTATTTAAATATTTAAAACACTTTTTTTTTAATACACATTACTCACTAATTTATTGTAAAGCGTTATTTATGAGGTATCGTTAAAAAAATTAAAAACTTGTGATCTTCAAGTAACTTAGCTACTTTTTTTTCCTTTTGGAAGATCTGAGGAAACAATTTTCACCCACTTAATGACTAATATAAGAACAAACGACATACCTACGAATTTTTTACAAAGAAATTATGCAAAAGTATTTGATGAAATCCTTAAGAGTCGACTAGATATGAGAGATAACTGTTTACTTGTAAAAAGAATGCTATTGATCGGATACTTTATCTTAAAGTTTACCGGCCAGTCGATTAAGAAAAATTAGATGTTAGATGTTCATGTCTTTAAGCAATATTGTAATACAATTATAAACTTGAATGGATGATGTGTTTCCCCACAGCGATGACTTATTATATTAAGTACATACCAAAACCTAATTTGATACGTTGACAAGAAACAACTAATTTTTAATTGTTAAAAATGTATTTAGTTCATATTGTATTTGTCCAATTTGAATACAACGTATATTTTGTGTTTATCATTTTCGTTCAGCTAAATTCAATTTTTTATATATTTTTCATTTGCGTTGTTATTTATTAATATTATTATTATTATACTAAGGTAATTAAATGTATTGTTTATAATAATAGTAGTATTATTATTATTGTGTAGTATAAATTATTATAGTGTGCGGTACTCACCACCTCACATTTTTATACGCCTACTCATGTTGAATTAATAATTACAATTTTTGTTATAAAAAAAATAAACCACTATAAGTACCGATTGTACACTTGCGTTTTACGTTATTACAAATATTTAATCTACAAAGTCATTATGATATAATATCTTAAATAGTTTTCAAATAATTAAACAATTTTTTTTTTTTTTGAGTTCAAGTGGGTATGTTGCAATACTATGAGACGCGAGCAAACATAACCTACTTGGTAACAAAATGTGTTTGCGCTTTATTAAAATTAAGTATATTATAACTATTATGTAAAGATACAGATATTATTATTATACATTGTATATAAAATATAAAATATATACAAGGCTATACAACAGCTGTAATTTGAAGGAAAAAAAATATGATAATCATAAATTCAAAACACCGATAAACTTTAAATTCGATTATTATGTTTTACCACATTCCGAGAATCGCAGAAACACGAAATAAGAAGCATGAGTAAATAAATCAAATAAAAAAAAATGTTTGCGAATAATAAAAATACTTCATTGTTTTTATTTTATAGCTAGAATAACGCCAATAAACCAAGAAAACGGAAAAAGTTTATAATATAAATTATTTTTTTGTTTTACATTTTGATAACTGTTTTTTATGGTCTTATAATTTATGATGGTTCGTTGGGATGATTTCGAGTAAAACTTGTGTGTTATTTCAAAAAATTGTTTACACAGTTTGATGTATTTTATTGGTCATATTAGTGTGTCTGGAAACTCATTTTCAAATAGACTAGTTGTAAACACTAATAACTCAACTAATGTCGCACAATAATTATGACAAAAAAGTAAAACTAAATAAAACTTATATAGACTTTGCCTGTTGTTTTTGTTAGCTGAGAAGACTAAATAACGAGGTCGGATTAAAAATAAATACACCGTAGGCTCAGTGCTTAGATCCTAGGAGAAAACACAAGGACTAGTGTAGGAAAACCGTGAAACCGCCAAACTTTTAAGTTAAAATAATAAATATTCACTATGTACTATTTTTAATAATTTTACCGCTCAGTCTGTTTAATTAAAACAACAATAAAAAACTGCACTGAGTTTTAATAAAACACATTCTTATTGAGTCTTCTCTAAGATATTTATGCAAATAAAAAATGATGTTTTAAAGTAGATGTAATTTGTAACGTTATTGTGTTCCTCGTTTTCAGCCAACAAGAATTAAGTATAATATTATTTATGTTCGGAATTATACTTAGTAATTTAAAAAAAACTAGTTTGTACATCAAGTTGGACAATTATTTGTACTTGTGGCACACGCCGAGATTAAAGTACTAAAGGTAAATAATAACACAACATTATATTCACAGTTAACGCTAATTGAACTGGAGTGGTTTTGTAACATATACACATAAATAGCATTGCCACAAAGACTTACAAGAGTGAATTTTTTTTTTAATAGGAAACAAGTGTTAAAGTAATCTGTACGAATAAATTATTTTATATCTAACAACTATTTCATTAAACTCATCAATGTGTTGTTAGATATAGACATAGTTGAAATATTGAAGCAATAGGTATCTATTGACAGACATGAACTCGCATAAACAGCACTTTTAAATGTATTAAGAAGAACATATTAGAAGAACTACAACTATAAGCTACTAGTTAAACATACTAGCTTAAGAAAATTAATTAAATTCAGAAAAGGTTATTATTTTAAATAAATAATAGCATCTCATATATATATATATTACAATAAGTATACTATGGACAGCTAATAGAAAACAAATGTGTATCGACACTCGAGTTCATAACCACAGCAACTTGAAAAATGATAAAATTATGTTATTCGTTTAAATTAATTATACGCAAATTTATATTCTTAAAATAAATTTTAACCGCATAAAATAAATTTAATTTAAACGATAAGATACATATTTTACTAAATTAATGTTTCTATTTAGCTATGAACATTTTTTTTTTTGAATAGTAACAAAATAAATTGAATTTAGTTTTTAAATTACACAATGTTTGTCGTTTTTTGATTCAAGGCTTATTTAAACGATAACCAAATGTCAAAAATGCTTTCCATCGTGTAAAAAAAATTAATTTATAATGTCAATGTCTTAACATACAAATCACAAAACACAACCACTTGTTAAAAATAGAATCTACTTGTTTACATAAAATTATATTTTTGTACAAGGTAAATATTATTATCATATCGAAGGTTAAACACTACAAATCAGTTGTCCTAATACTAATTAATATTGTTCCTAATTTTCCACTATCAATTACAGTTGTTTTTTTATCACTATGTTTACCAAATTGTACTCAACAAATACTTGCCAAGACTACGTAGATACTACATTACGGTAGAATGTAGATTACTACATTGTATAAGTAAAATATTGGGTAAGCATATTGTCATGTTTTCGATGTTTAATACTTTTTCATGATTTATTCTATACTTGATGTACAACACATAAAATGCTTTTAAAAGCACAGTATACGCAATTAAACTTTATTTTTTAAACGTTGAACACATTGAGTATACTTATTTGAAAGTATATAATAACGGTAGAATAATTTCAATATAATACTTAAATTTCACATACTTATCCATATATAACAGTTCTATTAGATGGTCGATTACATAATCAAATATCATAAAAACATAATATTATTATACAAGTTCAGCCTTTTGTACTATGCAGTTTATAATGTATTACACATGTTATTATTTATATATTTTTCTAGGGAATTAAACAACAATATAATAAAATATAAACGGTACGTGCAAATAGTATATTATCGTGCAATCATAACATAATTTTCAACAAGGCAAGTGCAGTCGATGAACCACAATAATATTATAATGTGGTAGTTCGAACAACGTAAATTCGACAATCTGAGAAAAAGGAATTCCTATACGTTACGATTTTTATAAACAAATGTATAATAGTATTATAAAACAGAAAAAAAAATTATAATTTAAACATTTATTCGTGGTGAACAATCAATCATTAAGTAATACACGTGAGGGTTGGCCTATACTTATAATGGTATTTTAACGAATCAATGGTCTTCGCACGTGTTCGTTAGAATAATATTTAAGAGCATACTTTAGTGCATTATAATTATTATTGTGTTGGTTTTCATACATAAGAAGGTGGTACCGTTTCTTTTGCGAAATTCGTCTAACCCGACAAAAATCCTCCGTCGACCACAAGAGCTGTTCCGTTCACCATGCTGGCGTAGTCGCTTAACATGAAGATGACGGCATTTGCAATATCGTCGGTTTCTATAAAAAAAAATAATTGTTATTCATTGTGACAGTTTGTAAAAGAACAGATATCGACAAAAACTATACATATATCGAGAATCTATATTGATTGACACTTTATAGCTAAATATGTATATTTCCTGACGTTTTTGTGCGCCCCAAATTCGGTTGTCCAACATATTTTTTAAATATTTAATATAACAAACGTTAATTACGCAAAGTAACTAATTGAATTGCTGTAATTAATGAATCAATAAATTGGGAATATATCGTTCATCGTTGACAGATGCCCAACTGCGATTATAAAATTAATTTTATAAGGAATACAACATTGTGTAGGTACATACCTGCAAATCTTCCTAACGGGATACGTCCCAATATGGGCCCGGATTTTGCCGGGTCGGACCAAGCTTTTATTCCCATTTTGGTAAGCACTACCGTGGGGTTGACGTTGTTCGTTCGGATTCCGTACTTGCCAAGTTCAATGGCCATGGTCCTAGTAATTTGGTTGACGGCACCCTTGGAAGCGCAGTAAGTCGTGTGGTCTGGAATGGCTCGCTGGAACAAATTATGTGTACCGTTTTGATTAACCGATAATAGTATTGTTTTTATAAATGTGAAAAATATACATGATTAGAACAAATCTGCACTGTTGAAATAGTTTTGGTGGTCTGTAACCGCTACCACAGTTGGTGGATCGTTTTGATCCTTCAACTAGCTGTTGGTCTTACCGTTGATATGGTCGAGGAAATGTTGACAATCGACCCTTTGATGCCGGCGTCAATCATGTTTTTCGCTACTGCCTGGCTCACTCTCACGATGGCTCTTGCATTAATGTTCAGAGTCCTGTTTACATATACTAACATTATTGTTTACATTCAGTTACGATTAAATTATAGTTTTTTCGTTAATTTATAGATAGCATTAAACAACAACGTGAGAGATATCGTAATGGTACGTTTATTACGTCTGTATAAGGTATATACCAATATTTGAATAACGTCTGAGTGTTTGTTAATTGAATAATTAGTGAAATAACCTTTGGCGACGATAATTGCCGCCACTACTCGAGTGGTATACGTCAATAAACTGTAACAGTTTGTCAATATCGTATAAAAGACTTTTGAAAAGGTGATAGGAGGTCAGGTAAACAGTCAAGATATTATTAGGGCGGCTTTTCTCGGTAAACGATAAACAGCTCTTCGTGTAAACGACTCCTTACTTGTCCCAGCCGTATTCGGTCACTTCGAAAAATGGCTCTATGACGGCTACGCCGGCGTTGTTCACCAGCCCGTGGACCGGTCCGATTTCTTTCATTTTGTCAAAAGTGTTCTGCCAGTCGGATATATCACAAAATATTTGTTTCATTTTGGGACTCGCCGGAGCCGCGGCGCCTTCTTGTTTTTCGACGACCGCATATACGAATGCGCCCAAGTCCAACAGTCTTGAAGTGATCTTTTCTCCCATGCCTGAAACATCAACAACGTCCATGGGAATATTCAGAGGGGAAAATATATATATATATAGGTACTATATTAAAACTGACCGGCGCAAGACCCTGTAACGATGAAACGCTTGTCTTTGAAATAGTCTTCCATTCTCGGTGGCGATTGGCTGGCCATGCTCCTGGATAGAACGTCTACAGCCATCTGACTGGCGATTTTATGAGGTAGTTTACACAAGGAACGGATCATATTGGTAATTTTATTTGACGCTTGTATTTGTATTTATTTCTCGTTAATTTAGCTTTGACGAAGCGAACCTGAAACGACACGGAACGGTTTTAGTCGTGTGTTTTTTTTTCCACTACTATACATCCATCCATAATAATAATAATATGGGTTTTTTTTTTTTATTTCAATATTTTACGGTAAAACGACAAACGGACGAATTGGTTTTAAATTATTATCATTTTATTCGTTTTTACAACAACCGAGGAGGGGAAGGGGTCTGTGTGAGCCCACGGTAACACAACGATCCGATTTCAACAAACCCCTTCCTCTTGGAAAAAAACCTTTGGCAAAAAAACAACATTATTATTAACCGAGATGCTGGTACACACTATGCTGGCAAACAAGTTGTGACGTTTGTGAACGTTAACCGTCACACGCCCGGAAGTACAATGTCACGGACGGTTAACGCTCTAACCCTGAACCATAGGTGTATCGAGAAAACCCACAGCAGCAGCCGTGCAACTCGTTATTATTTTTTTTTTTAATACGGCTCACGCACGGTTAAGATTTCAGACTTGCCATACACGGTCGGTCGCAGCCGACTTAGCCGACATGACTGGGTTCGATCATGTGGATTATCGTTTCGCCGATAACGGTTTGTGCTATAATTATTGCAATAACGAGCTTGATGTAACATCAAAGTGAAAAAAACCCCGTTAACACAACGACCATATCGATGGTAAATCGTACATTCATACCCGGCCATAGCTGTTGATAATCGTCTAGACGCTCTAGCGAATTCCATACGTTAATTATTATTACAATATATGTATATTAATTTGTACAAAAAATATAATCGGATGCCGTCGACTTTGCTAATGGACCGTCGATAACGAGTACGGGTACGAGTCTGACTAATTCTTTTATTAAATCAAGTATACATTTGCCATCTTGTCAGCATCGATTATTATTATTGTAATGTTATATAGTCACGTGATCTCGTCATTATCAAGTCTGCTCGTACGATCAAACTCGCGTTAGTCAAAAGATGTCGTCAGCAAATTAACGTTTAAATGATGCGGAGGTTTATATATACATATATAATATGTGTATTTTTTTTAAATACTGTCAACCAGTTGTTTTACCACGGATCCGTCGAGTACGCGAGTAACCTGACCTTATCCGCAAAAGAGGGCGGCCGCGCACTAACGTTTAGAATAGTGTTTATTTTTGTAGCCGTTGAAAAGCCTACAAAAGGTTTTAACTCGTTCGGATAAACCGGGCATAAAAAAATACCGTAAAAAATATTATTCTACGGCTCCAAAATACTGTACACAAGTGTAACACAAAAATCGGATGAACACTTGGAGCGATTTAATGGTGGCGTTTATTAAATTTACAAAAAAATGTTTTGACATTTTTTAGGGAATTATCATCTTGTATCTATCGTTAACGAAATTCAAAATAAATAAATTTCACAATATTATTCAGGTACAACGAACCGTGAAGGTGGAATATTCGCTATGCAAAAATTCAACCATGCCTTGATTTACGCTGAAGGTGCGCTTACACTAAAAAAATACAAAGGCAGGCTGGTTCCATTTACTCTGCCTAAAGTACGTGGTCTCAAACGAAGAAAAATAAATACACACCTGTCGTTATTTTATTAAATTAATATACTACCAAGAATGTTTAATAACCATGCCATTTAAAATAAGTGTAATATGTTTTAAGCAAGTTGAACGTTTTGGATTGTTCTTCATAAATTATAGAAAAGTTGAAAAAAAAATCGAACCTAGGGTCTAAAGTTCAAAATGCGTTAAATGTGCAAATATATAATTGGATATTTTACGAGTAAAACAAAATGTGATATTATAAAAAATATGCGTTGATAAGGCCCGTGTACTTACTAACAACGATTATGGATAAAATATCTAAATCGTTGCCTAACAAAGTATTAAGAGAACGTCACTCCGCCCATTTTTAAGGAGGAAAGTGTAGGCGGCAATTTTTTACAAAATCTTAACTTAAAGGTTAAACTGTGATGTGTAATTATTAGTTCTTTAATTAGGACTCTTTGTTAGTAGTAAAATTATTTTTCAGACTAACGCAGCGATTAAAAAAAACTATGTAGTCTAAACAGAATTCCGCGTCTACTCTATTATCGACTGATTAATAATTGTAGACATTTTTTTTTATATATATATATATATTTAACACAATGAGAATTTTATCGAGGTTCTCTACTCTGGTCGCCTTTTTTTTATTATTATTAACCCAGCATTCACAATTTATATTTTAACTCTGATATTTTTTTTTATTTTTCAAGTGCTTGTACTTAAGGTAAAATTTAAATTTGTTTAATATCAATTGATCAAATTGGTAATTTGATTTGACGCTTGTATTTGTATTTCTCACTCGTTAACGAGAACCTAGTTAAAGCTTGTTTTTTTTTTTAAGGGTATCAAAATTCGTTTTCTACTACCATTTCGCTTTGGCCTACACACTTTTTGGTAGACACGTTTTAACAATAATTATACTTAAAGGGTACGCGTCCTCTTAACACGCGGGTGGATTAACAAGACGTGTTATATAGTTATCGTGGGCAAAAGAGAAAAGACAAGATACTAAGACGTTGCTTGACGATTCGTAGCTACGAAAACGTATAAGTTGTCGTTGTATTATTATTATTTATTTTTTTTTTGGCAATTAAAACAATAAATTGTTTACAATATTACTGTATTTATCGGACCAACTGTTTTCGCCTTGAACTCTAAGCTTAAACCCAAGAATACCGCCGACGTTATCGAGCTGACACCGTCGAGAATCTGTGTGTGCGAAGGGTTGTGTTAACGTTTTTTAGCGCAAGCGCAAACTACGGGCGACCACCCCCGAACTTTAGCCTAAAGTAGTATACTTACAAACCTTCGTTGCCGGTCAGAGAATTATTTCCCAAAAAAAAAAAAACTCGGGTAGCAAAGAGCTTTTTTTTCTTTTTTTACAGTAGCAACGTTTCGCGTCCGTTTCAAAGCCAACCCGCCAAATCAAACGTCAACGTTGGTCGGTTTGCAAAAACATTACCACTGGTGTACACTCGGTTTAATTGCAAGTAATCACAGTATTAACGCATTACAATATGGAGATATTATTTATCGAGACCAACTATGTAATATAGGTATATTCTTATGTGTTATAATTAATACAGGTATAGACTTACCACCGTTTGCCGGGCACCGACGGTCGGGAACAATGTACTTGAGAGTAGCACAACTTGTGGCGCACTGACAATCGCCGGCCAGACGCGGTAGATTCATTTTTTTTTTTTGCGAAAACGTGCACAACCGCGTCCCCTGGTGACGTGGGCGCCAAGTGGGGGATTCCGCTTTAGGCTACAGCCGGTATAATGGAAGATAAAAAAAAAAAAAAAAAACAAGACTCGTGTGTCACCGACAAGTCGATCCGGAACAGCTCTGCACAGTCACAGTACCGAATTTTTATTTTATTTATCATATTAATATTAATGTCGTTATCGAACAAAAACTGCAATATAAATTCGTCGAAAAAAACTAGTTAAAAAAAAAAAAAAATACTTATAAAGATATTGACATTTTACAACTGAAAAAATATCGCCAGAAGTCCGAAATCGTCGAGCGGCCGACCGGATAAATGCATAAAAATAAATAATAATTAATACTGATTTTTAGATAATGTACAAAGTATGAAATGAAATTCCCCCGCAATAGCCAGGATTACTATATTTCTAACCTTTGATGTACACAAAATATATTACAATTATTAATAAAAACCCACATACTGCGCGCTGTAGCTAATAATCACGTCTATTTCATAAAATTTCGGAGTGGGCCGCCAACTATTCAACCCCCCCCCCAGCCCTTCCCCTAAAAAAGCAACTGTTTCTGAGTTTGTTGTTTAAATAATTATTGTTGGTTCTACTTGACCTTTAGTGAGGACGTCCAAATATGTTGGAGTTCGAGGAAAAAACGAGGGTTATGCTTATGTCGAACACATGATTTTGACAAGATAACGATTTTTACTATTCCCTTCGCGAATAGTTTATTACAATAGTCGAATTCGATAAATGTTATTATCAACAATTTTTGTTTGGTTTAAATTTTAATTATTGTCAAATAAAATCTCTCCGAAAATACCCATTTTTTCAAAATAAAAACTAAGAATCAATTTCCCACCCAAATATTTGTTAAAGTTGTAAAGTGTAAGTGCACAAGAGAGTGGCTGATTGAACGTTTATAATGAGGAACTGGAAAATGTAGTACAAAAAATTTAATTACAGTTATTACTATGCTGATGAGTACATACAAGGTAATTAAGGATAAGGCGATAATTTTCTCTTAAAACAATAATAATTTATAAGCTTAGTTTTTTTTTTAGACAGTTATATTAATTTACAATATCAGACAATTTAAAATTTTTATTTTTTCCCAAAGCTTCCAAATTTTAAAACTTAAATGGTAACGTATATATTTAATTCATTTTTTTAATTAAGAAAAATTTGTTTACAATTTTCACTGGTTCATAACCAGTTTTAGACAATCACTTTTAAAGTTACTATTATTATTAAAAAGTAACTATCGAAAACTGATTATCGACCAGTCAAAATGTTTAGCGAGTTTTTATTTTATTTTAAACAGTTCATTAATCATAAACATTCTCATTTAAGTTTCAAAAGTTGTTAGAGCTATGGAAAATACCTACTAAAAAAGAAAAATGTTCAGAAACTTTATAATATTTTAAAATAACATAAACAAAAATGTTTTCAAAAAGAAAAACAACAAATTGCAATTACTTTAAGAAAAACCTAGTGTCTAATCCTTAATGAATCACCTTGTACACTATATGTTCAACCTTGAGTTCAGTTTTTATGAAAAATGCTTATACACAACCCCTCAAAAAATGGTATGAATCCTGCGAATGATGTGTACAACAAATTTTGATTTTCATCATTATTTTGATAATTGAATGGTTAAAACCTGGGTTTGTCGTTAAGACCCTTTTAAGTAATTTTTAGTTCTGTTACCATCCCGACAAAAAAATCCCATTCTTATTCTAACAATCTACACACGTACAATATAAATTTTAAAAAATACCGCCAGAAATACATAAGAACTTTATTCGCTTTAAAATAACAGTATATTGTCTACTCGCCCATTTAATATTATTGCTGTTTTCTTAAATTGAGAATTTCATCGTGAATGCTTGCCAAAGCTAATACCCGCTGTAATTTTATTCATTCAAAAAAAAATATGTTTATCTCTAAACCGGTTACCTCGTCTCAGTTGACCTCTCCATACTTACTGCTCACTAATAGACAATAGTGATGTTGCGCAGGCCTTAAAGTGTTCATCTCGTAACAAAGCTGAAACTCAATAAAACATTTATACTGTTGGCGATTGAAGGAGAGGGGGGAGGGGAAAGAGTTGATTTTTTTTTCCTTTTGTCCGGCTACGTGGAAACTTTGTGCGCCGTTTCTGATTAAATAAATCTTTCAGCGGTTAGGTGGAAAAAAAATCATAATCATTGACGGACGAATAATTTCAAAGTGTTCGCTCGAACGCCTATTCAACTCCGTCGGCGGTTAAGTAGGTCAAAACTAGAATGTATAAGTCAGCGCCCAAATGTACAATATTATATTTACAAGCAAATATCCAACCACCGGTGTTTATAGAGGGCACGGCTATTAGCTCGGACACCGTATTCACCTTCGAAATCTCGAGAATATTTGACACGGATAGGCATTCTGGTTCATTATCATGCCGTGACCGCCGAACGTTCTAGAATAATACTATTATGTTATTTAGCCTACGGTAATATTGTATCATATAACCCAACCTCGACTAATTAAATAATACAGAATCGTTCATCTCCAATACAGGCTTGAGATTATACAACGATGGTAATACTTCCGGACTATTATATTACAACATTAATTAACTGACCTAGTGTGCAGTTTGCACTATTCGATAGCTCGTTGTATACCTACAAAATAATAGCAAAAACTAAACTTATTGGCACATAATTCCTACAATTTGTAGTAAATAAAATAGGCAGTTACAAAAATGTATCATACTTTGTAATCCGATTGGTTAGATATGATGTAGCGCTGTTCTGTCTAAAGTACTATACTGATTACCATTTCACGAGAAAACATTTTTTAAATTTGACTTAGATACTTATTTTTACAATGGACGGTTTACTAAAACCATTTGTGATGTTTTCATTTTATTTATAAAAAATCATTCTAAAAAATACAGTATGATAACCATAATAAGGTTATTCAACGGTGTAAGCTCAGTATTCATTTTTTTTTTATTGCAAAGTTTTAAATGTGTCAATAGCATAAAAACTAGGTAAAACATTTTTTTTACACAAGTGGATGTAAAATATGAATATAGTTTTGGTATGTTTTTATAAGTGACAATAAATTAAAAAAATTTACTAATACATATTAGTATTATTAAAAACCCATTCAATTCATTTATAAGCATTTTAATTTGTTGAAATTAATTTAGGGGAAGTAAGATTACTTAACTCGAGTGTTGAGTGTTTTAGTGTTAAGACGCCAATAAAGATGGAAAATTAAAAAAATTGTGTACTACACTATAATACCTGTTTTACAATATTATTAATAGTAATTCTAATTTTTTAATTGAAATTTATCAATTTTTTATTACCGTCATATTATATTGTATCTCGTTGGCGATAAATATGAAGCGATAGGAATTTAAAATGCGTGCAATATTTTATTAGGTTTTTAATCGTCGTCGATTTATCTAAAAACAATAGCCAGAATTAAACAATATGTATTATTACTCCATATACTCAACAAATGGAACTATTGCAACAACTAAATTATTGGCACAGTGTTAATCGATTGAATTTGCTTAAATTAAAAGTTCAACGAGGTTACGGCAGTTAGTTTACTATACTTAATTATTAAAAGTCATTAGATCTAAAAGATAAACCGTGGCGAGTAATTTAAAAGATAAACAATTAATTGTCAATAATAACAAGTTATTAGTTAAATGTATTACAACGGTTAAGCCTATTTAAACTAATATTTTTTTATCGAGGATTGATATTTAATAGTTACACAAATCGCGAACTAAAAAAAAAACACCGAGTATTCTATAATAGCAATTAAGTCAGTTGACCTCGAATAAAATGCAATGAGAGCAAAGCTTATGTTTGTAGGTCAAGTCTTCTAAAAAGTATCTTATGTTCAGGACAAACATTGTATAAGATAGTTGAAAGGAAAATGGAGGTAACTAAAAATATGAAAATGTTAGAAATAAGTAAGTATAAAGAATTCAATGATGGAAAAATATAAAGTATTTTCTAAAATGTCCGGGATCCAAAACAAAAGCTCCTTTACTTATGTGTTGCAATCTAATTTGGTAACCTATAGTATTTCAAGAACGAATTCTACAGTGTATTTTGGCTTTTGTAAAACGTTGTTCGAAAACAACCGGATTTACAAAATATAATCAACGAGTTAGCAACGGTTTAAACGATGATTATAAAATAGACAATGTACCTAATTGTAGAAACAAATTAGCTGTAAAAACATTATGCTTAACAGTAGTAGTAGTAGTAGTGCTTTCATATGAAAATAAACTCCTGCATTTTCAAACTGCGTCTTGTACAATAACCGAAGGACAAGTTGTATTTTTTTTCTAGTATTAATAAGCAATCTAATCGGAACAAATGTGTATTTTTTTCTAAATTTTCTAAAAAACAAAATCTATATTCATAAAACTTTTCAAGGTACACTAGGTTTTTATTGTTAAGACATTTTTTTTTTAGTACAATCTTATTGTAAAAAACAGATATGTTTTTCGTTAACTACAATAAACGGTATTAATAAGCAATCTAATCAGAACAAATGTGTAGTCATTTCATGTCGTTATCTTGACTTTAATCGACAAAATACAATTAAAATTTTGCCGGATTCAAAACGCATACACCTATTAAAAAGCTAATTATATAGTGTAGGCGGTCGGGTGATAATTAAAATTAAATAAAATACATATTTATAACTATTAAACACGATTAGTACAATTTAATTAGTGTAAATTCTCGCTTTAAGTAAATATTAATTTGTTCACTTAAAACTTCAGTACTTACTGCCTGCAATTGCTAAAAACTTTTCTTATTTTTTTGTTAATAATATACAATTGTATTTTTATATTATAAACATTTTGTGCTGGATTTTTCTGTTTTCAGTATTGGCCAAAATAAATGGGTTTTTTTTTTGTTCTATAATTATTACCAATTGAAAAATTGTCCTATATTAATGTCATCAAATGCCATAACCAAACGTTCAACGGCTTCTGTAATCATTTTATACTAATGACAAAAATACATCGAGCTTCTCCCCACAATGTATATTGTATTACTTGACTTTGGACCTTGAACCGTTTAGACTTGAGTACAGAAAAAACCTAATCCCTATCGTTTTGGAGCTCGACGGAAAACTAGAAAAACGTTACCACCGAAAACCCGTAATGTTATACGTATTTAGACGATGGGAATTGCATAATGTGTGCCCTTAAGTTAGGTCAGTACCCATCAGTAATTTGTAGTGTGAAAAAATTGTCTGCACTAACAAACGCTGTAGAGGACTAAATGTTCACAGAGGAGAATAGTGTTTGTTTAAGGTTGGCTTAAATTTTTGACTGACTAAATAATTTGTTTTCTATACATTTTTAAAGATTTAATTTTTTTGTATTTTTCAAAAAAATTGTAAGGGTCAAATCTACACTAGCATTTATTAAGGCGCAACGTATAGGCAATTTTTCACTAAAACTTAACGATAAGCTAACATCTTTAAACATATAATATATTACCGTAGGAAAGAAATATCTTTTTTGATATTTCATTTTTTTTTAAATTTTTATAACGCATCTAGGATCTGTTTTTGTACAAAAACATATGTTTCTAATTCAAACGTACCGTTTGTAAAAACCGGAGTATTCTTATGAATATTACGTTTTGTAGAATGAGTTGTTTTCGACCAAAAATTAGTGATTTGAGTTATTAAAAAAATTTAAAAAGTTTAAGCACAGATAAAATCTCATTTTTTCTCTGTTCTCTTCTATTTGATGTGGAAATGTGGAAATGATTTTACAACAATTCCGAGAAACATTTTGGCGGAAAAAATAATTATTTTTCTACACAAACTATACTGCGATGGCCATACAACAAAAAAATTATAACCAATAATGAATCATCACTACTGTACTAAATAAGTATACCGATTACACATACATATAAATTAAGATTTTACGAAACATTATCCATACTTTAATATAAGATGTGCAATAAACGATTTTTTAGCAAGACTATAGTCTATAGTATAGACTCTATACTACTGTTTAACTACTTGTATTTTTTTATGTTAGTGATTTACATAATTAACTGTTACCAAATCATGTTGAAGGTCTGTTTCCGGTGTCACTACGAGCATAAACTCCGTACAGCTGTAGTAAAACACATAAACTGTGCGCCCTCTGTGCATGTAACGCGCCAACTGTATTAAACTAAGAATATTTTAATAAGATAGTTTCCACTTTACACCATATTTATTTCAAAAAAACAATTGGCTTTATTTGATATTTTACCATTTTAACAATTAATAATTATGCATCGTTTTAATGACAGTTTTCCATGCTGAATGTTTTATTTATATTTCTAGTATTATACTTCAAAGTTTAAATGAATACCTATGACGTTTCTACAAAGTATCCAATATTTTAATCAAATGATCAACATATTATTATAATTCGTTAATTTATCAAACTCTTTTTAAAAGTATAAAAAAAAGACAAAATCCGTACAAAATTCAAGAACAAGACTTTTTCTAGATTTTGTTATGTGCTGTTTCCAAAAAAAAATCTAATGCCAAAGTTTTCAAGAACTTATCAATCTAAATAAAAATGTAAGTCTTAATTATTAATTTTGTACAGATATAATTTTGCACGAAAATTGCTCAGTTCCTCAAAAAGGTATACTTGCCGAGACATGTCTTTTTATTAAAAAATAACGTGTTAGCAAGTACAAATTATCTATTCCATGGATTACTCTGGGCTATATAATTGTAACTTCATATCAAGTTCTATTGAACAATTGTCTATGATTTACTCGTCAGTAAATATATGGTGTGGTGTCTTAACAAACCCTATTGGACCTTCTCACTACTAGAACTAAGAACTTGCCAGATAACACTACGTGTGCAAAAACTGTCGTTAGCGTTTTAAAACAGTATATATATTTTCTCAGAGATGGCGCCAACATAATCGGATACAGACTCAAGTCTCAATACGGCGATACTATAAAGGCCGTATTAATAATTGTCGGTTATATGACTTGATGCATTGGCAATTCGAATTAATTTATCTATCATTTATTAGGTAGGTATAGAAATACCGTGGATGATGGGATTGAATATCGTTAAAAAAAAAATACAATTATTAAAATCGAAAAATAATATAACTGTATTACGTCTATACTAATTCTGATTTCTGTCAAATGTACAAAAATAAAAATAAAAATATTATAATTGAGCATAATAAAACAATAATGATTACTATTGGTTGGGACACGCTATTAAAATATTTAACAAGTCAAATTTAATTACTTAATGTAAAACATGTACTAATTAAATCTTTAAACAAATTTAAAAAAAAATCCAATATAAATCCGTATTTTATTGTATAAAAACAACAGCCGTTGAACAAAATTAGACTCGTGTCAGTTAAAAACGTTAGCAGGCTAACCAGTCAAGAATCCACCGTCTACTGGGATGGACACGCCGTTAACGTAGGAAGAGAAGTCACTTAACAAGAACAGAGTGACGTTGGCGACATCTTGAGGTTCTAAAATCAATAAATTATCAACGTTAATGTATTGCATATTGCTACAAATAATACAACACATTCCAAATCGCTAAGTATATTATACATATTACATAACGAATGTGTATACTTAAAAACAATTTCGGGAGGTCTTACCTGCGAATTTTCCTAACGGAATTCTGGCCAAAATTGGCCCTGACTTGGCAGGGTCGGACCATGCCTTGGCTCCCATTTTGGTCATGACCACCGTTGGATTAACGTTGTTGGTTCGGATACCGTATGGACCCAATTCGATGGCCATTGTCCTCGTCACTTGATTAACTGCACCTTTCGATGCACAATACGCCACATGTTCTGGTATGGCTCTCTAAAACATGTATTTGATGATAATTTCCATTTTGACAATCTTTAAAAACTTTTAGTGTCTCAGATTTATTAATTTATATTAAGTCAGGATAAACCAGAGCCTTGACATTTGTTGCACATGAAATGCAAATGAATCCCGTTTGTGTAGTGCAAAACATATTTTATAAAATTAATTGAATATATCTCTTTTTTTTAAACTATTATCATCGTAACGGGAAAATGTCGAACACGGGATATACTCCGGTATTTCTATTTGGGTTAACCGTCCCTTGGGAGAAAAATTAAAATAAACCTTGATTTTATATAATTACTTTATATAAATGATTTAACATTAAAATTTGCAACTCGTCATTAACCGCTATGTTTTAAGTATGAACTATAATGTTGCGTTGTTCCAAAAAACAACATTAAATAGGTATTATATGTGTAAATATATTTTTTATAAAAATGTTAGCATTTTCAAAATTTAAAAATGTATGTAAAGAAGCATTACATAATTGTACTGATAAATAAACGTAATCGGTTTGTTAGGTATCTTATCGCCACCTATTTAAAAACCAGCTAATATAATTATTGAATTAAATATCATATTAATAATTCGTTTGTATAATTTAAAACGTTTTTGATTTTGGCCAGTTTTAAAACTAAATGCATAAATTTAGAATCAAGAAATACTTGTTTTCAATAGGTAGGTACATACAATTATTTTCTTGGTTGTCAAAACTAATTTGATATAAACTTTTACCTAAATAATTATATTAAGGTTAAAAACATTTCGACGTTTGAAAAATGCAATAACAATGATAGTTATATTCCAGGTGTAGTGAACTGGGTGTTCTAAGTCCAGATTCAGAACATGTGGATAAGTGTAGTCAGGAAGGAATCAAAATACCTAAAAACTAGTATAATGTAACAATCGCTGAAAGACACTGATCGACAATGCGACGATCGGGGAGTCTCTTTTATATTGAGATACTTTCTATTTACAATAATAATTTCGTAATATGTAATTATTTATTAACTACAATGGAAATTTCTTAGTTATACTATAAGGTTTATAGGTTCTTAATTATACATTTCTAAATATTTAACAATTGCATAATAGTAAAACTAGTAGGTTCACCACACAGGTACTAAGTTAAAATTAAAAATATTCGTTTTTCTTAGTAAAAACCGTGTAAACAATATTCCAATTAGACGTTTTAATAACATTATTATTATTTAATTTACATTGATTAGATTTTTAAAACGTACTAACATGTACATAGTTCAATCGTATAATGTGGCTTGTGATAACCAGAACCAATATATTTGTATTTAATAAGTACACGGTTTAATATAGACCCAGGTCACCTAAGGTGCACATAGTATCAGCCGTATCACATCAAACGTATAGCGATGGATGAATAACTAACTTCTCGTGATGGGCGCAATCAATCAAACCGAAAATATTACACTGTTCAAACAACAATAATAGTAATACCCATAACGATTATTAATATCCGATTTATGGAACTATTCGCGGTGTACTTAGTACCTGTAAACTGTTTTAGATACCATATATAATGAGAATATACAATAAAATATATTGTATATATTATACACATATAATATATTATATAACGTGTACGATGTTCTGGTTTATGACATTAATAATAATCGATAGGTATAATGTATACACAAAACCCACACAACTAGTGTTGCAGCTATTGTGAACCAACTTGTATACAAACACCCGCAAGTAACACTTGTTGTAAAGTAATAAAAAAAGACCCTACAAGAATATTGTCATAAGCTCGGCAAGTATGGTGTACTTACTTCAGCAATTGTCGAAGACACGTTCACGATGGATCCTTTGATTCCTGCGTCGATCATGTTTTTAGCTACGGCCTGACTGAACCTTACTATCCCTCTAGAGTTCACGTTAAGGGTACTGAAATAACCAAAATTATAATATTATTATTATTGTCAACTATGTAATAGATACACAAAGGTATTCCTATCTAATTTTTAGATATGGACCATTTAGGCGCCCTAAATCACTGCCTATTCTGATGAAGAGGTTACTCAACGAGGTATTTTTCTGGTTACCAATGTATTACCTACTATATTAGTACAATATAACCGGTTGGTTCAACATGCCACTGGCTCGAGGTCATCACCAATATATTAGGCGAATAGCACACAAAATAAAAATATCGTCGTACCTTTAATTATTTATACGTGTAATATATTTATTTTATTAACAAAGAAGCCGATAAAAATAATTTTCAACGTCAAGGTTAACGCGTAATATACATGCGTTATTGTACGGAATAATTTATTTGACAGCACTTGATCATCATTTGAGTAAAAAGCTCAAAAGAACAGTAATTCTACCGTTAACAAATACTCTGTCGTTACTTTTAATACGGCATTTGTTTTATAACTTTAAATTTTTCCTTAATGTACAACATTTAATTTGTAACACCGTTTCATACAAAAACATTGTTTGTACACTATCGAGTACTGTAAAACCAAAAAATGTGACTAAATATAAATACAATTTTGAAATAAACAATATTTAAACAGTTTAATGTATCGTGAAATAAATTAAAATCAACTAGATTAATAATTATCCTCATTCCTCTATGTAAGGGTAACCATAATTAGTGGAATGTTAGGGAATGAAAAATTCCAATGTAGATCTGGTTATGATGGAGCTTGGTACAGCAAAATTAAGGTTACATAGCAAATCTGAAGAATTTATGAGCCCAACAACTTCTTTCATTAACTAAAGACGACGGTGGATCTACACTACAGTTGAGCGAAATTAATAAACTTATTTTGGACTTTTTGAATTCTGTTTGTCGACGCGAGTTGTGTGCGACACCAGCCTACACGACCACATTCTAAAATCGACCTAACTAAAGAATAATACAACGTTCGGGAAACATCCCAGGTGGGCTTCAAACCGATTGAGAGTTACCAAAACCTAATGTCATGTGTAATCCCTATACCCGGTTCCGCGAAAAAGACAGCCAAACGGGCCGCCAATAAGGACAATAGCTTTAGGTCGGAGGTGGGAGGACCACGTGCGTGGTAAACACTAAACGGTACGAACGAACGAAAATTATAAAATATACTACTTACGAGTCCCACGAGTCCTTTTTCGTTTCGAAAAAAGGCTCGATGAAAGCTACGCCCGCGTTGTTTACCAGACCGTCGACCGGTCCCAAAGCCTTGATCTTGTCGTAGGAATCCCAATCTCCAACGTCGGCAACGATAGGGGTCAAGTTTGGTCCGGCAGGTGGCAGTTTGCTGTCATCACGTCCCACGGCGAACACGTGTGCGCCCAAATCCAACAGGCGGTTGGTGATGCATTCTCCGATACCTAAATAAATAAAAAACAGCTATAGTCATACCGTAAGACTCGGCTAATAATACTATAATGATAATGCCAAATCAATTTGACCGAGTCATTGAAGAAATTGTTGTCTACCGGATTTTGTAAGCATAAAATATGAAGGGCGCAGAGAAAAAACCGGGAAAAATCACTTTTTCTTTAATCTAAGAAAACCCATGTTTGAATAATGGTAAAAACATGTTTTAAACTGTTCATACTTAATAGCTTCAATTTTTGTTCTTAACCATAAGTTCTGAACAGTTTCGCATCAAAACGAGTATTAACAAAATGGCTGTTTTTGAAAAGTGACTTACCTTTTTTGTTCGCTGTACCCTTCGATTTGTCTTGACATATTATTATTTTTTATTTATTTTTCCTAAATTCCTGAAGATTTAGTGTAAGTAAAATAAAAATAAAAAATAGTATATTGTAATTTGTAAAATTAAAAATGATTTTCGATTTAGGGGTTGTTGCGCATGTCAATAACGCGATAAAAAGTAACAATCAGCGTTGACCAGGTGAATTCAACAACCAAAAATAATATTAAGATAGTATTACGACGATAATATTATTTTGAGTAACCAGATTGGGCGTGATGCGTGCAGCGGATAGGTACAATGGAATTTTATCGGTGACGCTGTATATATTATTATGTATATTATGTTATGAATAACAAGTTTGTAGTGGCCGCAATTGTATAGTGCTTGATCGCCAGCGCGTTTAAACTCTGATCGGATGAACTTGAAACGTACAAAGATCACGGACTAGCTTACATATTTAGTAAATATTGCAAAACCTAATAACAACAATTCAGTCGATAAAACCTACACTTTCATTATAAGAAACGTTAATGAACAAAATCGACAGTTATGAAAACAAAACAAATCGTTCTAACCATTTCATATTATGCAAGTATAAAGTTGACATTACTGTTAGTTTAAGAAATAAAAAAGAACAAGAGTCCACTCTAAAATAGTATTAAATTCTTTATAAAATGTTCGGATTAAATACTATGATGTTAACATATCATTTGGTTTTTGTGTAATAGCAGTTTGCTTGCTTTCATTCGCTTGTCTTATATCAAAATAGTTTTACAACTACTCGCAGAAAGTGCTTTTATTCGAAACATAATACTTTCTCGTTACATGTAATATCACATAGAAATAGCTCTTAAAATACTAATTAGTCAAAAAAAAAAAACAAGTAAATCATATTGGTTTTACAGACACGCGCGGCGTTAGGAAAAACCCAGGTACACTTTTAATGCGTTAACTAAATATTTTAATTTTAAACGATTTCCCACAAACGGCCCCGTTTGAATAGAACACAAAATATCAAATAAATATAAATAATCAAATAAGAATATTATGTTAATAAAATGTAATTAAGGGGTTTTTTTTTCAATAACTCAAGGCCGGGTTAATAAAAAAATATTCTCGGTTTAAATGTTGAAAGTTTTATATGCAGTTAACACCGATTAAACGTTTCCACAAGTTCAAAAACGTGTATTGTTAAAAAATTGTATATACTGACCAGCGTTGGCACCGGTGACGATGTACTTCTTGCCCTTAAATGATTTTTCAAATGACGGTACTGAAGCAGACATGTTGATATTTTGTCGAGTTCTGGTCGTGTGTACTGTTGATAATATATTGGCAACAGTTCGATACTGAATGACTACAGAGGGGTGCTACCAGGTGGTATTTATAATAGCTCGGCCTGGCGTTATCTGTAACCCCATATCCGACGACGGGATAGCAGGAGACGCGTTACGTCAAAGTCGAACAACAGAGCCAGACGTGTACCAGGAGGGGAGGCCAACGTTCAAACCGTTGCGGCTCTGTTCCCAATCGACGAGGTCAAAGGTATAATAACAGACAAAACCTATCTGGACAGTATTAAAATGTAGGTATAATAGAAATTACAATATTCAGCGATATCGAAAACCGACCAGACTACAATCATTTCTTCGATTTTGTTTTTTATTCTTTAGCAGAGAAGGTATAGTTTTGACAGTCCGTCCAAGTCTACATAGATCAGAAATCTCAAGCAATTTTATTGGAAAAATCTTTATCTGTGTGCCAACAGAATCAACAAGTATCTGTTATATATTTGTGTTTATTGTTAATTATTGTTGATTATCTATTTATTTTTTATTTTTTTTTGGACAGAATTAAGCAATTCTAGCACATTATGCTCTAACACCACTATGCTGTACAACTGTGCTGGAATTTTTTTTATTTAACATATTTTATAATAAAAAATAAGGTTTTAAGAAAGGTACCAAAATAATCATATTATATTATTTACATTAGTTATGTATCAAAAAATCATAATAACCATTATAAATAGTAACAGTTGCCTTTTTGTTCTTCGAACCAATTACGGTTTGTGTAGAAAGAATAGATAAATAGTACATAGATAAGTGTACCTGTACACTTAATTAAAATAAAAGGTTGTTGTTAATATTATCAACTTTTTCTGTATAGTTAAATTTAGTTTCAAAAAAAAAAAAATTAATTAAAAACTTTAATTACTGTCAGTATTCAAAAATGTAAAATGTTTTTTCGATTAAACTTTATATCATAAATTTAAAAATTTACCTCGTGCAAGTAAAATGAATTGTCAGTTTCGATTTAACGTATTTCAGTACATAATTGTAATTAAAAATCTGTTACATACAATAACTATAACTGACAGCTAACAAAAAATTAATTTGAAGGGTACAGTTTTGTTTAACTAAATGTTTATCTAAATTATTGTATGTTATGTGCATAATCAGAGTGAATTAAAACAAATATGTAATACCTTGAAAGTGTTTTAAATGATAAATCGTTTTACCATTGCAATAGTCACAAAACAATAGTCTATACCACGTCAATCTATTTTACCTGGCTTTTTCTCGTCTTTCCCAAGGTTTCATTTATACTAAATACTATGTGGAATGAATAAAAAATTGTTGTTGAACAGAGATTTGTAGAGATAATATTGCTAAAAAAATACAAAAAACTATAGTCTTAATGACAAAGTCGTTAAGATTAGATACTTGAAATATAGGACATAAACAAAACTATTTAACTTTTTTAAGATTTCCACCTCTATGGTACATAAATTGTAATAAAAAATAGTCAGGTACTGTCCTAAATTAACACTAAAAACCAAGCAAAAATAAACAGTAAAAAACACACTAAACCCTAGCACGGTATAAACTCTTAACTATACTAATAATAGTAAAAAAATAAATAAATAATAGGCACACTGTTAAATTATTATAGAAAAAATCTAACAGAATGTAAAACTTGATCAGTAAAACCTACACAGCTTTTATTATTAACTCCAATTTGTCGAGTGTTATCTATAATCTCCTAGCCCAGAAAAATATAAAATCATCACAATGCAGAGCATTAAATTTTAGCATAATTTAACTCGGCCTTATTAGATCTACCTACTCAAAGCTGGAAAAGGGGTTATATAGCAATAATCCTTCGATAGGGATCTTTGAATTAAAAAAGTTTTAACGAAATCGTTACTGCCGCATTTACTATGCTAATTTTGTTAATTGAAAATCAAAAATGTCTCATCCCTTTGCATTTTAGATTTTGGTTAACAGTCATACTATGTATTATTCGACTCAATGTTTAAGGCAAATTTAGTAGTTGTTAAACAGTTCAATATTATGCAACTGTATAATATGATAATGGCCATGATCAAATTACATATTCTACTTAGTTGTTAAATGATAATAGTAAAAAAAATTGAAGCGTTAAAAATCAGTTGTTATATTCGTTTAATTAGAATGTTATTAGGTATGTTCTGCAATAACAGTGAAATTTATATAATTAACTAGATAAAAACACGTAAATAAAACAACATTTTACAATAATCGTTATCGAATGTGTTATAACATATTCATTCATTATAATTGGCATTAAGCTACAGGTGTTCTAGAACGTTCGAGAAGCCATTTACTTGGATCAGCAAGTATATGGAATACAATATAGTAAATATTATTGTATTCGGACTCGTGTTTGTTTTGACCCCTCGTCTTATCGTACAGTTTTATATAAGTTAGTTACATCAGAATATTATAACGCTAATAAAAAACCGTAAAGAATTATAGGAAATATGAAAAAAATCACATGCGTGTACAATGTGTTTATTATTATTTATTTCAGTATAATAATATAATAGTTGTATTCAATTTGCGTTTTGAACATTTGATACGAATTCAAAAGTTTTAATCCAATTTTTTGCTTATTCTGTAATTTTATTTGATACTCGATAATTGTCTGCATGATATTTTAAGTTAATTAAGCATATTTTTATAACAATTTTTTTTAATTTACCAGATAGACAAACACCGACGATTAATAATAACATAAATACAATAAAAAAAAATCCTAATTTTTTTATCTATGACAACATATGAATAGTAGACACATTTCTAGAATTTTTATTCTATTGTGTAACAGCACAAAATATGTATGTTGGCCACCAAAACTAGCTGGCTGTGCTTTCCTTGTTTTAAGCTCCAGAGAAAAATTACACTGCGGTTCAAGTGGGAAGAACGGGATTTCGGATTTATGCTATATATTTATGGTTTTACAAATTGTAAAACACATACAAAAAATAAATACATTTATTGATTTATCTCAAATCCGAAAAGAATTAATCACACGAGTATACTTAAGTTACATAATTTTCATAAGATTTTGAGCACATTACATGATATACATATATACATTTATGCACTACACATTTTGTCATAACAACATAAGCTGTATAATTATTATTTATACAGCGTAAAAATGTATTTTATTTGTAAAAGTTAAAACTCGAGGTTCGAAGGTCTTTCGTTATAACATGTATTCAATTCCAATGTTTGAAATGAAAAACATAAAAGCTAATGAACGTTTATGAACAATTATTGTAACAGAATATGCGAGTCGAACGTGTGAACGAAATATTGCTAAATTATAGAAAACAACGGTAATGACGAAGCTAGGTTTATGGCATTTTCGCATAATGTGACAGTAAGAGCGTCATTGATCAATCATATATATATATTTATTTATTTATTTATATTTTAACTACTAAGATCTAATGCAGAACACCACACGACGTTCTGCTTAGCGTGTTCGCGGGAATAATATTATCAACTAAAAGGAATTAAAAAACGAATAAAAAATACAAACATTTATTTTTGCATTGTTATAGCTGTTAAACATTATGTTATAATGTAATAATATAATTATATTTTGCAGTACCTATTTTTAATGATTTAATATGAATCTAATTGAGATCAATAATTGAAGAACTCATCCAGTCATATAACCACCGTCGACGTACAGATTGAGGCCGTTTACCATTTTCGCGTAGTCGCTTAACAAAAATATCACTGCGTCAGCTATGTCATCGGGCTCTATAGGGAAAAAAATCTATTATTTGACATCATCAACAAAAGCAAAATGTTATAATTGACCATAGAATCTATCATTCCTACACACAGGACGCTACCCATCAATAATTTATAGTATGAAACTGGGTTAGTGGGAAAGCATATACTGTGGTGCCTGTGGTAGTACTAAATTCACCAAATTTTCATAGGAAAATATGAGATAAAATGTTACCCGTGCTTAAACTAGGTAATTTTTTGATAAATCCATTAATATGTAGGTGTTCTTTAATTCGTTAAGTTAAGATTTTTTTGTTGATATTTTTCAATTTAAATTAATACAAATTAGTGGATCCAGTTATCGAAACTAAAAAAAAGCACAGCTGATATAGTTGTCCACAATTTACTGTGAAATTTCGGTGATTTTACAATAATCCCAACACACTTAGGATTTGATTCGCGCAAAACTATTATGATAGCTTAGTTGAATTAAGTATACACTACATAGTTTAAGCTATATTTTAAGATTTTTGGGAAAAATTGCCTATACTTTTTTCCTTAATAAATGGGTAGGTAGCGTCCTATTATTAGAATACTAAACTAGACACAATGCATTTAACTCTGACGGTTTTTTTTGTGAACATACCGGCAAATCTACCCATCGGTATTCTGCTCATAATGGGTTCAGATTTTTTTGGGTCGGACCAAGCTTTCATTCCCATTTTGGTAAGCACCACCGTAGGGTTGACGTTATTGGTTCTTATGCCCTTCGGTCCCAGCTCGATAGCCATAGTTCTCGTTATTTGATTAACGGCGCCTTTGGACGAACAGTATGAAACGTGATCTGGAATTGCCCTCTGAAAATTACCCAAAACGCAATATTAGAGTCCATAATGCCAATACAAACAAATGTTGTAGTCTGGTAATTATAAAATTATTATTTTACCAATCAAGTCCTCTCCTCTCACAAATCACAATTTCAAGCACTATTTCTTTAGCATACCAAGTTTTTTTGCTGGAATTCACAGGAGGTAGTAATGAAAGCACTTTGAAGAAAACACTACACTGCGAATCTGTGAATACTGGTGCCAACTTAAGAAATGTCTTACTGCACTTAGTTTAGAATGTATTTGGTTTGTACTGTACTGTTCTTACTGTCTACAGATTCGCATCGAAGCGTTCGACAGTGCACCTGAACCGCTATGTTAATTTTTTACTATGCTGGTTCAGTATGTACGTCTTGATTTATACTGTACTATAGTTTGGACTTAACTAGGGTTTTTAACTTACTTCCGAGATAGTGGACGATATGTTCACGATGGATCCTTTGATGCCTCCAGCAACCATGTTTTTTACCACTGCCTGGCTTATTCGGATCATTCCTCTAGCGTTTACGTTGAGCGTGCTAAAGTAAATCGTATAATACACAAATGAATAAGTATGCTTTTTATATTTTAATCAAAACGGTATCGAGCAACTCTTACTCGTCCCAGCCGTGTTGTGTCATGTCCAAGAATGACTCGATGTGCGCCACACCAGCGTTATTCACCAACCCGTGTACAGGCCCGATTCCCGACACAATCTTGTAAGCCGAGTCCCAGTCTCCGACATCAACGACAAGATGAGTGACGTTAGGACCGGCTGTAGGTAAATTTTCGGGATCTCTTCCAACAGCGAAAACGTGCGACTCTAATTCCACCAGCCTATTAGCAATCACTTTGCCCATTCCTGAAAACATCCCGTTACGCATGGTTTTTAATATATATATATTTTTGTATACTCAATACACATTTTTGAAAGTACATTGCAACATTGTAATCGATTATATTTGGGGACAATAATCGTTTCTAAAGTAAACTTTGCATACATTTGTTTGAAACACGAGTACAGTACTATTGTATTCCATTTCTAAAACATTAACAAGTTCAATGTGTAATGACACTATCTACATGGTATATAAATAGAATTAAGTATCACGTTATATTTAATAATAGTTATTATGCCGATTTCTTATTTATGGTATTGTGCGTGAGCTTTACACGATGACGTTCACTCAGGGTTGGACTAGGCCACCGGGATACCGATTAAATAGAACTATTGCCTGTTAGGAAAATACTTAATATGTAAACATAATTTCACTTTTCAACCTGTGGGTGGATTCAGCCTTTTTTATTTTTAAAGGATTTTTTATTTTTGTTTTTATTATGCAAAAAAAAGGTTTTTTAATATCGTAACATACTTTTCAAACTAGATTTATTTAATTACAAGAAATTGATTTTTTTTATTTAAATTATAAAATAGAATCTAAAAGTTTTCAAATATACCTAAAACTATGTATCAACACAGGTACTTAGGGAATTGTTGAATTAAGTACAAAGACAAATTTTCAGTTAAAAATATTCAATTTTATACAATCTATTTATAAAAATGTACTTACCGGCACTGGCCCCAGTGACTACGATGCGCTTGCCCTTGAAATAGTCTTCCATACACGAGCGTTTCTGTGACATTCCTCTAGATAGAGTTCTTACCATACACCGACTGCTTAGTGCTGTTGTTACTTTACAGATAGAGCTTAACATTGTGCTACTTTTGACGTGTTGATCTTGGATTCTAAAAACAAAAATAATGTGCACAATTTATTATTTTCACAAATTTACCACATTTTGATAGCAAAAACCAAAAAAATAATTTTAGTTTTATACAAACAACCGTATCAATTAAAAATAGTTCAATTTTTTTTCAACGACAAAACATCTGATCATAGTTTTATCAAAAAATGTCAAATCTAAATCGTCTAAGCCCCGATCGGTGAGAACAAAGACAGTTTTACCTAATCGCCTCTTATACTCGAGTGGAAGTCGCTAAGTTACTCAACAACAAAACTGATACTTCAATTAAAAAATGCTCAAGTGTTTAACATACTTTAAACCGAGTTGTATGTTTGAATTTTAACGTTGGAAATATCGCTTGTAAAATCTATAGGCATGTTATGTTTGTGCAATATTTTCCCTTCAGTTATTACAAACAGCCAAAAGTTAGAGCCAACTCGAGTTGTGTGTATACACGTATATACTATGATGACTCTTGTGCAAACAGTTTTAATTGTAAGTACACATTTCCTTTTATTATAAATTCCATCGAACTTTACGCGCACTTATACTTGGCGAGTTTTATCGATACTCTTTGGCAAAGCCGTTTTATAAAATAACTGATAAAGCGCTATTAAATTTTCAAGAAGAATTCCATATTTGTTTTCCTCGGGGACTCATCGCCGAGTAACTTAAAGCAAACAGCTGTAGGTAATAGACAGAGTGACACGCACAGTTCTTAAAGAAAATAATTTTTAAGTATATATTTTTTCGCGTTTTTTATCGCCAAACGAAAAACCTTTAGTGACGTGTAAACTAGAAAAATACTTTTTTTTTATACCAACAAAGAGCGATTCGGGAAAAAAATCTTTAAGCAAAAAATTTTTTAGGTTGACCGTGTTCGACCAAGAACTACAGTGTTATTTTTTCGGCGAGATTAAATTAATTTAATAAAAACAGCTATTATTTAACATTAATGTTACCTACAAGCATAACATATCGTTACTTAACTTTTACTACTGTAATACGATTAAGCCCGCTTCTTCACCGAATTGTATAATTTTACATCAGTTAATATTTTACATGAGTTATAGTTCCAAACTAACTATTACATGATCACCAGTCGTTAAATAACTAACAGTTTTTTAATTTTTTAATTCAATTAAAATGTTTCGCAGCATAGGTAGATAATTAAGGCTAAAATTGGCTATCACACGGTTTTTTGTCAATGAGTACCAAATAGAAGTTCTATAGTATAAAAGCTAAGACGATTAAATTCCAAAACATTTGTCTTTGTGCGGTTGTGACTACCAAAACAAATATTAGGTACTATAATGATTACAGTTATAATAACAGTAAAATGAAAACGTAACAACTATTATAATTATTATCTAACACAGCGTTTATATTAAAGCCTCCTAAAGAGACGACCGCTATAATCGGATAATTAGAAGGGTGCCCGCCCGGTCGTTATATTATTATGCTCACAACTGAATGCCGTTTGCATATTTATATAATCCCCCCAAATTTCATACAAATATCTTGTGTCCCTTTGATTTTCACCACGTTAAATCCTCGTCGCCCACACTGTATATTCCACAAACTACGTTAACGGTCATGAACACAATCGTGCCAGAAAAAAGTTACTTTATTTCAGTAAATTGCTGTCGCGTTTAAGTTAAAAATCACAAAACATAATTTCTAATTAAAAAAAACATCATAAATAGCTATCTAAATTTAAATTTAAATAAAAAATACACTTTAAAAAATATCAAAAGAATTGCGTTGGTTTTCGGTGAGTTGGCGGTTTTGTGAAATTTTAATCGAGCAAAAAAGTCGTTTGACAAAAACAAATCACTCCTTTTGTTCAAAAAAAACCTCCCGCCAACGTATTGCTCTCGAAAATTTCTTATTATTTCAATTCACTATTAGGTGTTGTAACTCTATAACTACTCTGAAACCATCTAAAGAGTAAAAATCAATCGCGGTTTTTTTGTACTTGAAACAAATTGCTTGTATACCGAGCTATTATACAAAAAACGAAAATTAAAAGGCTACATGGAAATGTTAAGTTTATTTATTTTATTAAAACATATTTGATGTATAATTAAATTAAAAATATGTAACACACTTGCAATTCAGACAATCAGAAAATTATTAAAATAATATTTATCTAATTATAATAATTGATAAGTAACATATTATATACTACAGATGGTCGTACATTTTTGGTTAGATTGCTGTACAGTGTTTTTCTCTATAGCGGATTACAACATCGAATATAATCGGCACATAACGTTTTGAATGTCTATAATAGCCGTTGAGTGGTAATCTCGAAAAATAATAATAATGAAAAGGAGAGGGGTGAAAAAATAATTACAATATTAAAGTACTGTTTTTTTTAGCACTGCAGACTTCATAATTATTTCGAAACAATATATTATTTTTAGATTAAATCTGGTACAATAATGTCATGTTTTCAACATAAAGTCCAATGTCTATTTTTTCAGCACTGTACGACGTGCATAATAATTATACACCAACGTTTGTTAAGTCATTAAAAAAGTTTTAAACATGTAGTTTTTAATTAAATAGTACCGTTTTATAATTGAAAATTGTATAGAAAAATACAATACACACATGCGAATCGCTTGTTGAAGAAAGCGAGCAAGTCGAAAAATCGAAAACGTTGGGAAAACACAAAAAGCCCGTTTTATCCTAAACACAAACGTCATAAAAAATCTGAAACTCTTTATTTTTTCCAGTAGAAACATTTGATACTTTTGTTCAGGTTTTTAGATACTTATTTTGTGCCACTCACAGCTGGTGGACTTATTTCCTTTGTTAAATTGACACATCACACATGTTATCATAATTTAAATCTAATTACAACTAAATATAATAAAACACTTATTTCCCCTCGTAAACGATACGTGTGAAAGCACATTTTCTAGACATAAGCGCGTTGAATAATTGTTCTTTTTGATGAAAAAACTTATTCGTCTCGCTCCACAGTATGTTATGCCACTAAAAATTCATTTTCGTAAAAAATTATGATTCATTCTTGAATAGTATTTATAATAGCGATTCTTGTACTGTTCATGCATATGATTTCATTATTTTACGTTTATTTAGAAACCGTTAAAAATAGATAATTGATATCGATGGCCACTGGAATGATACGTTTAATTAATATTATATTTAATAGTTATTACTTATTAGTCATAATGATCATTTGTATGTTGTATACTATTTTAAAGTGATTAAACGTGTTGCCGAATGTACATTGAACTTTGGTAATATTAAAACAATATTCGGTTATAATTTAAAAAAAAAATATTAATTGATCAATTAAAGGGTTTTATTAAAATATTAATTATTATTTTGTTTTTAATAATACGTTTATATTTTCATAGAAATTTTTCAATCAAATAATTACATTTCTTATTGAAATTATATTATATAGTAATAAAAATATTGTATTATGTAGAACCACGACAAGTCTAAATCGCATATTCGAAAATTCTGGACAGAAAAAAAAACGTAATAATAATTGTTTAATATTCAATCGATTATGTTATTATATTGTTTTTTGTGCTGTATAAGAATACTTTAAGATTTATTTTTGAAAATTACGACACACTCAAGACTCTTTAGAATCACTCTCTCCCTCTTTTATACAACAGGCTATTTCATGGTAGAACGGTTTCATTTCTACATGAAAATCACCGAATCTAAGAGATGGTCGAAAGCAGTACCAAGAAATTCGATTCACAATAGAAACCTATTCACGTAAGCACTAAATTTTCAGCTTGGTTGTTGTTTTTTAATCATACTATTTTATAAACAAAGCTTAACCCCGACTAAAAGTACATCTTTATAACGTACAAACAATAGAATGCATTCAAATTTAACCAAAAAATGTTTTACTAACCATCATTCATACTGTTAACTATAAACTGACAACTGTAAACTATTCAGCCACTCAAACAATTTTTTGGTTACATCTACAACTTACGTTTAGAGGACGTGATATCTCCTATTAGTTAAGTTTGGAGTTAGGTATAGGCAATTTTTCGCAAAATATTAATTTAAAGCTTAAACTGTAGTGTTTAATTATCAGTGTAGTAATTACAACTCTTCATTGGTAGTTAATTTATTCTTCGGAGTATCACAACATCTTTGTCAGCGATTTTAAATGTTTTTTATTTAAACATATTGTTAAGTAAAATTCATTTCACTAATTCCATTTTTTTTTAGAGCAAAAACACTTATTATGAAATCGAAACACAAAAAAAATTTTGGAGATGATGTCATATGCAATTTTGAAAATAACAACATGAAAGAAGATTATTTTATCAAAGTAAAAAAATATGATTTTAAATGCTAAATATTAGTTTTATCATAAAAAAGGATATGACATCGCCTTTAAAATATTGTCATCTTTCATTTTTTTTTATAGGTGTTTTGCTCTAAAATCATCATCATGGAACGAGTAAAACGCATTCTGTGTAGGTATGTTTTAACGTTGAGAATTGGATGTGTAACGTTCTCTTAACTACGAGTAACAAAACATACTATTATATTTCAGCAATAAAAAAAAACGTGGTTTCTACGTTATTAAATATTTTTAATTACCAAATAAAAAAATAACATAATATCTGTGACCTCTCGCCCTCGCTGTATGCTAACACAGTAAAATAGTATACATCATATGTAATGGAGTTTTTGAGCACTTAACTAACGCTATGTCGTTTGCATAACAATACCCAATATTTGTTTTGACCGGTAAACCGATATCCGACGAACGTGAATACAATTGTATTTAATCGAATAATAATGTAATATAATCGTTCTCCGAGATAACACTTATTGTTTAATTAAAATAAATACTCAATAATTGAGGTCGAATCGAACAGTTCAATTACCAAAGTATATAAAAAGTAAAACGCGGTTAACGGTCTATTATTTGGTCGTTTATAGTTAAAATGTGTTTTATTTCCAACAACATTTTGCCGCACT